CAACCTAAACAGGGTAATGTAAAGAATTCCTCATCAGGAATGAGGTAAAGTTAATGTCATACCAGCTCACTCCTTAAATGTGCTTGCTTTCTTTAGCTTAATTATGTAGTTTTTAAATGGCTGGAGTACTGCCTTCAGTAATCAACGGGCTCTTCTTGGTTCTTTGTTTTCCTTGAAAGTAGAAAAGGTTCTACTTCATACTAGTCTGACTAAGATCATCCAAAAGTGGTTAAATATTAAACTTAATAGCAATCTATCTGCAATTACCTCAACATCTCTATCACTGTCTTATGTTGTACACCTCATCAGTTTCTAATCACGCATATTGTAAAATGTCCCTGTCACTTGTATTTCTACATACAGTATGACTACAAGGTAGCATGGCAACAGAGTGTAATGCAGAGGTCTGTAAATACATGTTTGAGCTACTGTTTTCATCCCTATCAAACAGGCTCCTGTTTTTTATAACCTTATGCTGTTATGGTAACATTCTGAAATGTGAAAGCAATGAAAAAATTATTAGAGCTTCAGAGTCTGTTTTGTATTATACTTTCAAAAAACATTGTCTCTGACTTAAGAGACTTTTTCATTTGGAAAGTACTGTAGAGTAGTTAAGCCACTGGAAGCTGGAAAGGGCAAAAGGCTACTGTACATACAAGGCTATTGTATAATGTGAAATCAGTGGACTGAATTGCTTGGAGCGTGTTTATTTTGCACATACTGTACAATAAACTGATGTACTGTATATTTTAACTTTTCACTAGAAAAGCTTGCATTTGACTAACCTTTAGACCAACATCTTCTATAGGCAGAGCCCTATGTATGAAACAACTTGAAATTTTGTTTTAACCTTCCACCATATATATTATTCAAACAAAATGTATTTTCTGTACATTTTTGTGCATTTATAGTAAGTCCTTCTCCTTCCACATGTTTAAATAATTAGAAACATTATAAGAATGGAAAAGTTCAAAGATTTTCAAAGAAAGGCAGAGGGACTTGTACAGAAAGAATACCCTGCAGAATGGGAAGATATACTGTATGTCAGTTAATAATTTGGGGCCTACAAAAGTAAAGATAAACACATGAAGGGCAACTGGTAGAAAAGGTTTTCGATGTTATGACATTTCATTGCTTTGGCAATGCAAAATGTTGTACTGTATATATTTTATATATAATCAATATGTAATAATTTTTTGTATGTGTTTTTTTATAATGTAGTTTTACTGTAGACATGGATTGTTGCAATGTTAAACCCAACATGGAATACTCCTCACAATTAAGCTTTCCATAATCTGAAACTGACACAAACACTAACACGTACTGTACATAAAGACCTATGGCTTAATGAAGAGTTCAAAGAAGAGCAGCTAGACTAATCCCTGTGCTAAGAGGGATGAACCTTAAGGACAAGTTAAAAAAAAACTGAAGTTACACAGATTATAATGACAGGCTAATGAAGATCTAATTGAAGATTTAAGAGGAGAGTGAAGAAATAGGTAGCAATTACAATTTTTTTCTTTGCGCTGAGAGACTGATGACAGATGAGGACTTGGAACTGAATAAAGTTACCCTAACAACAGAATTGAATAAATGGAGATTCTGTTCATAACAAAAGGCTAAGACACCACCACACTTCATTCCAGTATAGAAAATATATCAAGTTTATACAACTACAATTTATTAAAAACTGCAACTATTTAAAATATATACAGAATTACATTTGATTACAGTTGTGTTAATCTTGCTTCCATTGTATTTAATATGTACCTCCCTGCACCACTCTGCGATTATAGCATTTTCTTGAAGTGTGAAGAATCCAGGAAGCAATGGAAATTAAACTTACAGAGTAATTAAATGCAAAATTAACGGATCCTGCTTAAATTCTCTATGTAGTAAAACTGTATTGGTTTTTTACTGTGTACTTTAGAGATTTAATGATCACTGAAGGTTTTTTAGATGTATTTCTTATAAATCGTATAGCTTGGCTCAAATTCAAGGTACTGGACAGTTCTACTGTAGTGTTATTTTCTGATGTAAAATTATGTTTTATATTAATTGTTGTAATAACCAACCTGGCTAAAAAACAGAAAACTCTGCTGGACTGTCAGGTCAAAACTAATAAATGCTATAATTCCCAGTACATTGACATAAAGCTTATTTTTGGGAGTCTCATACAGTATGTAGTGTACAGTAGCATTTGTCACCATAGCCTTTATATATAAAGAAGGTGGCCAGAATTATCCTAGCTGTTACAACTTCAAAGCCCGAAAACTGCTTTTAGATTGTTATGTGCTGTTAGATAGATTAGAACATCATGTATTAAATATTTACTGAACTACATTACCTATTATACAATTTTTAAATAAATCAGTATTCTGTGATCACAATCATATAATTTGTGACAAAGAATTTAGAATTTGAGAAATGTTCAGTGAATCAGTCTTGTGATAAGATGACTCAAAATAGTTAGTTTCTGTATTTGGAAGGTTGTTTGTCATATATAAGAGTTATATTTAAAAACTCTTAAAATATTTTTTTCTAGTGACCTTAGGAGGATTTAAAACATGGTTGATACCAGGGAGAAACCCAGAGTTAATGAATTCTTAGAATCAACTAGCCATCCATTTCTAAACAATACTGCTGTTGGGTTATGTGCATATTTTTAAGACTGTATGAAATACTATTTCTATGGCAACCCAAATCCATTTAGTTCTGTTAGTTGAATCCTTTCACATTGTACCACAGAGAAATATGCATTAGACTGAAATCATTTACAGTAAGATGTTTTAGATCCTCACTTCCTGCAGTTTACAATACATGTTTTATAAAACATCAAGCCAAGGTTGCCTTAAATGCTTTACAAATGTGAAAAAATGTTTTTCACATGTTTTTAAAAGCTGTTCATAAGGTTGTAATTATCCAGATTCTGTGGGTTTTGCTGCCTGGCATTGAAATACAGCTGCAGAGAAAAGTATAGACCAGCCAGAGTGCACTTACAGTACCTAAAAAGACCATTAAAGAGTTCATCAGCTATATAGAATTTTCAAAAAGCATAATAAAATTAACATTTAGAATTCATATCCCTTTGTGTGTCTCTACAAGAAATCACAGTTCAATTATGTCAACATTGGAGGCAATAAAAAAAGGAGTCATCCAGGTGATTTCTGGTTTAAAGGCTGATCATCTGCCACCTGAATTAAAATCCCCATGTCCCTTTGATATTCCAGCACTGACACAAACCAAATACTATTCAATCAAATCTACTGTCAATAAATTCCAGGCTTTTCTCTGAAGCTATCCTTGGAGTCTTGAACTGTGTTTTCAGTTGTTACTGCAGTTGGCATTTGCTTATTTTAAGATCTGACAGGTTTCCATCCTTTTCTTGTTTGGTTTTCAATGTTTCCCATAGTTTTTTCTCAAATCTGATGCCCCTGTGGTGGGATTAGAAGTAGTGAGCTACGTCAATCCTATCATTTATCTTGCTGCATTAGGAAACTGATGTATTATTCGTGTTCGAGCACGTTGGTGCATTTTAAGCCTCCACAGTTTTGTTAAAGCCTCCTATTATTTTAGGAGGACTTGCACTGCAATATGAATAGATGCTAACACAGATTGCACTTTTGTTTTGCAGAACAAGAATGAACATTGTTCAGGAGTTTCCTCCAATTGTCCTGTTAGATATCAAAGAGTATTGCTGTTGTATGTAGCACCTTGCCTTGAAATTTCCGGTTGACTTAAGATTCCTCTTAGGCTTGTAAAGATATTACACTATACTGTGCGTTAGAGATTATCAGCATGCCTTCTGTTTTGACTCTGGAGTTCTGTACTGATGTTCCATTGTTGTTCATTTCCTACTGTTTTTTTTTTTTGTTCTATTTAACTGTGTTTTATGGATTTACCCACTGATCATAGGCTGCTCTTCACAGCTGTGCTTGTACAAAAAACGCAAACATAGCAAAGGTGGGGAGCCAAGGGTAGATTGTTGGGAAAGAGTGGGTGGGGAACTACCCTTCTTCCCCCTCTCTCTTTTATCCATTTACCCTTCTCCACCATATTCTGAGCAGTCAGAACTGACCATAATGTTGAAGAGGCTGGAAAACTGCACAATACATATATAAAATTCTTTGAAGAAGGAAATGGACATACAGTATTCTGTTTTGATAGTGATTAGAGACAAATATAGGAATGCTAATTGTTAAATGGAGTGAAAGGCGTTTTTGTTTGTTTGCTTGTTCATTTCTGCATGTATAATGTGAGGCTCTTGTGATTCATTTAGAGTCATGTTGTAGAATTTCAATGACATTAGAGAAAGGGAAGCAAGGAATGCTTTCTGAGACACTGCTGTTCAAACAGTGAGATATTCAGCACGGTTAAAGAAAGAAAGATTTACTGCTGGTGAATGTTTTAACTCACCTGAGATTAGTTTTCTTAAAAATAGAAATACTTCAAAGTAAAAAACAATCATGTTAGAAAAAATCTTAGTAGTGGTCTATCAAACTGCTTTTAAAATTTCACTATGGCACCTTTTTATTTTTCTGTGCTTGTGCTTTGGTGGTTAATTGTAGATTTAAACTATATGGGACCCCAATCCAGGGCAGCACAGTGGCTGCTCACAGGGCTGGGGACCTACAGTAGGTTCAGTTCCTGGGGTGGTGTGAGCATAGATTTTGTATGTTCTCCATATGTTCATGTGGGCTTTCTCCAGGTGCTCTGGTTTCCTCCCACAGTCCTTAGACATGCTGGTAGGTTAACTGGCTTCTGTAAAACTGGCTCTGTTGTGAGTGTGTTTGTCTGTGAAGGGCCAGGTAAAGGTTTTAGTCCATGCTTAGAAGAAAAGAGACATAACGTTTCAGCTGTGGAACCTTCAACAGGTGTCAGGTCTTCAGGTGTGTGTCCTGCGATGGACTGGCATCCCATTTCTAATGGAAATTCTTTAGAAAATATGTTAACCTTCACTGATCTGTTTATGATGGTTCATTCCTTCTCTTATTTAACAGATGCTTATCCGATTTCGGAAGTTGTTTACACCTGGACAGATGGAGCTGCCCAATCGGTGGTTGTGGCTGAAGATAGTTCAAGACTGAACCAATACCATCTAATCGGACAAACAGCAGGGACTGAAGACACCTATACAAGTCGAGGTTTGTTATGCTCTACTGAAGATGTGTATACACACAGTTTGAAACTACACAAAATTAACATTGAATGCAAGTACTGTACATATGGTTATCTTTAGAATCTGGGTCCATGCCAGCATGACAGCAAACATAATTTGCCAGCTGTCCACTCGGGAAAAAAAAAACATGTCTTATCCCTACTTTGAGCCGTTGGAAATCTAGGGTTAATCCAAACGCACGGTCATAGTATTTGAGCATTTAGAACATGATGTCACTTTATCGGGATTGGATAACGTGTTCTGGACACGTGGGATATAAAGACATCTGCTTAATTCTGTTACATAAATCAGTAATACACTTTTGTTTCTCAGAGATGAAAGGTTATTAAAGATACAGGTTTCTCATATCAGTGTGTGCTTTTATAGTGCATGCAATTAGACATGTACCTAAGTTGATTTTTTTTTTCTATTAATAAATTCTTTGCTTAGGACTTTACCAACATCTTTAGACATAATGATTTCTCATTGTAATTGTCTTGTAACATTCTGTTCTAGTTCTTTCCTTTCTTTTCTGTGGTTGTGCTATGCAAAACATGCAAAACCTTAAATGGTATATGAAAGTACTAGGATTTATTTTAATATTTTGTATAGAAGGCGGTACAAATATTCTGCACTTACATGGCATGGGTAAGAAAGTACAAGTCTATCTGACCTTTTGTACATTATCACCAACCTCTGACAGGATTCAGAACCTGCAGGGTTTTACTTAGCAGCCCTAAGCTGAGGTGTAAACCCTCTTTACTAAACTGGGAAGGGATAAGAAAGAACTTCAGGATCAGAAAGTGAGATAATTGAACATTTTGACTACCAAGTACTGTAAATTCAATACGTATAGTAAGATAAAAAGACAAAGCATACAAGTTAAAAAAAACAAGACCATTCCGGTGTATATAAATTCCGTTCTTTGAAATTGTAGTTATTTACTGTACAGTAGAAAAACATGACTCTCAGCAACATTTCTTTTTTTCCTCTGTGTATCCATTAACATTTGATGCTTTAATCCCACTGACAAAAGGGTTTTTAAGGTAAGAAAAAGATACACGTACTCACCAGTTAACCAACATGGCTGCGTTGTTTTCGGCAATAAATGGAAGTTCGCCATAAACACTGAAAACCCTTAGCAGGAATATCCAGCAAATGTACATTTTCATTCCTTTTAAAATCCCATAAGGCTCCATGCATCAAAACCAAACAATCCAGATTTATACTCCTCTAATGGGCATCCCACCGTTGAATAAGATTTGTGAGTATTAGTCATTGGTGCGTGTAGGGAGGAACCCACACATGGAAGACATTGTGGTTCTAGGACTACAGCTTAGAAATCAGAAAGTTGGTTCTGGTCCTTTCAATCCCCTTCCAAGTATTTTATTTGCTTTAAGCCATTAATTACCAGTTTTTAACATCAAGATTGTATGTCCCTAAATGAATCTCGTCAGGAAGTGAAGCAGTACTCTGCAGCGTGGATTTCAAACTGCAGGATGCAGATTGTGACAAGGGATTAGTGAGATACAAAAATCCGATTTTGCTAGGAGAAAGCAGCAGTCATCAGTGGATTTTCTGTAGTTTATCAGACTCTACAGAGGAGGGCTAGAAAGGATTTTTTAAAAGCTCAAAATGCAATCTTCAGTTGGTTAACAGAATATTTTCTCTCTCTCTCCCTAATGTTTCTTTCATGTTTTAACTGTCACACTCTTGAGTTTGAAATACATGTGTTCAACTAGGTAACCTTTGTTTTAAATATTATTATTATTCTAATATGACCTGAAAATTGTAAAAAAAATATTTGTTTAAATGTTAGTTTATATATGATATGGCTGCACTTTATAACACAGCTTTCTTTCAGCACCAACAATTTCTGATTCCCCAGTTGTTACCTCCTAAGGGCATCCTTTACAGAATTTGAAATCCCCATTGAATTTAATTTCGCTGGCACTGTCTACCTAAATGTTTTAATAAGCTCCCGGATTTCTAAGGGAATTTGTTTTCTCTCATCATTTTTCATGCTCTATTGGACCTGTTCTTTTCTCCATGCTGCAACTATCGAGTAATTTCCTCGCTCCATTATTTTCAGGTCAATACACTGTTATGATGGCACATTTCTATCTGAAGAGGAAAATCGGTTACTTTGTCATCCAAACATATCTGCCATGCATTATGACAGTCATTCTGTCCCAGGTTTCATTTTGGCTGAACCGAGAATCTGTCCCTGCCAGAACTGTCTTTGGTAAGTATTACTATTACTACTGTTCATACTAGTACTGTTACATCTACTGTAATACTACACTGCTGTAGCTATTTTTACTATGACTAGTTATAATTAGTAAGAGTAACATTAGTCGTGTCTAGACAAAGATGATGTCTGCAGAAGCAGCAGTAGCTTAAGCCAGTTTCTAAATCATGTTCAGTGTTTATGTTGTACTATAAGTCAGTTGCAGTGATTCAATTAATAAATCTACATGATGCTGTCTGTGCATTATTCATAATAATGGGTTAACAGTCATGAGTCATTTTTAAAGAATGGCAAATCTATTTCCAGATCTTCAGCTGAGGTTATTACGGGGTGCATTCTCAAATACTGTATTCTCACTGTTTTCCTATATTTCTAAAAGTTATTTCAAAATGTACTGCACTGTACCTAATCATATTGTTGAAGCAGCTATCCTGGATTCTTTTAAGAAATGGTTGGATGAAGGCTTTGGATCAATTAGCTACAAACCTGTTAGATCAGGAAACAAATACAAAATACCTGAACAGTAGCTAGAGACTGAATGGCCTACTCTCCTTCGTAATCTTTCGATCAGCTTACAGTATGTCATGTCAGTTTTGCTGGCATTATGTATTAATTAAACACATTACATTTCTTTTTCAGGAGTAACCACTGTCCTTACAATGACCACACTCAGTATTAGTGCTCGCAACTCACTACCTAAAGTTGCTTATGCCACTGCAATGGACTGGTTTATAGCAGTGTGCTATGCTTTTGTCTTTTCTGCATTAATTGAGTTTGCTACTGTCAACTACTTCACCAAACGAAGTTGGGCATGGGATGGGAAAAAAGCCCTTGAAGCAAGTCAACCTAAGGTATAGTTTAGTATTAAATTCTCTCTCCATACACTAGAAAACAGAAAATGTATGTTTCTGTTTATGTATAATTATATTGAGTAGCTTACAGTAGTTTGGTATCTGAAATTAAAAACAAAATAACTTATGACATTTGTGTCAGATATGTACTTTGTTTTCAGGTACTGCATCTGAAGCACAGCTGCTACACTCCAGTAATTATGAACCCTTATGTGGTTATGTTCATTGCATGGAAAAGATATTAAATTCTGATTATTCACACATTCTGATTATCCTAATGTTCTTCCAGAATGCTCCACAAGGAAGTCACTCGCTGACATTATTCACATGTACAGTATTTTAAGACAACGGTTTTCCCGGCTTAGTGTGAGAATTGTTTAAAGTAGGTTTACTCCAGTACTTCTATTACCATATTAATTCAACTGTAGTTTGTTTACTTTATGTTACTCTTTTTGTCATATACAGAAAAAGGACCCCTTGGCACTTTCAAAGAAACCGAACAATGCATGTCCGACTGGAGGAGTTAGCTACACGCCAAACATCACAAAGGATGCTGTTCTTTCCACTATTTCAAACAGCACGTCGGTACAGTTGAAACCTGCTGAAGTAAAGGCACCAGACCCTAAAAAAACATACAACAGTGTCAGCAAGATTGACAAGATGTCGAGGATAGTTTTCCCAGTGTTGTTTGGGACTTTCAACCTAGTATACTGGGCCACGTACCTGAACCGAGAACCAGTTATTAAAGGAGCCGAGACCCCTACATAAAGTGCTTCTGTTTACAGTTCCTGAACTTCAGCCATATTGTACAACAACAGGATTGCCATAGAAATTGATGCCAAGCACTGAAGACTTACTCTAATCAAGTTTGGAGAACCTTACTTGTTTTCTTAAGTTGCATGATCAAAGCTATATGGAATAATATTGCCATGTTTGCCTTGACGATTTCTATACTAATATACTAGATTTTCTTAAAGAATGTTGCATTTTATTCAACGCAGCAAGTATTTTTATCATTGCAAAGTAGGAAATATTCTTTAAATCACCTGTTTAACACACCCAAATAACATTTTGCAGTAACAGTCATTAAAAATGTTGGTATGCATTATGTTACAAAAATGAAAAAGATCCAACTGCAATACAGAATAGTTTTGTTTTATTAAGGTTTTAATGACCACAGAGTTTATCTATTCACATATACTGTAAAAGGGGCATTTAAGAGTGGATTAGAAAGTCATGTGAACTAAGATTACACAAAAAAACTTTTAAGAAGTACAGTAGCGACAGAAGAAGAATGGCCACACAATGTTTTGCCTATATTGTCAGATTTCCATTCTTGCAAGCTTTGATTGTCACATATTGCATCCAATCCAAGAAATTTGAAAAACAGAGGGAGCTAAAAGTTTATCATTGACATTTTTACAATTTTATTAAAAAACAAAAGCAAACGATTTCTTGATTTGTTATATCTAATTTTAAGATTTGGCTTTTTAAATTAGCAAAAGTATGAAAATAAATTCCCATCAAGTAAAGAAAAATGAAATGTTATAAACGGAACAAAGAAAAATAATTTTATATCTGATTAATTGAGTGTACAGTATATCACAGAACAATGTTTTGTACTTAAATTCCAAATCTTAATACAGCTGACATTAGAGGTGTTGCGAGCTGGCTTACCAGTCCGATGACGTCACCGCCCTTCCCTGTGAATAGCAGGGACCACAGCCGTCGGGCTGCAGGGAGATTTCCCTTTAGGTCAGCTGGCTGGGTCCCTGTAGAGTGATGCCGGAGGCCCAGGTTCAAGTCCCCAGTGGTGGGGGGCCAACCTGAGGCGGTAGCGGCAAGGGCGCATGCCCACGTGAACCCGAAAGTGCTACATTGGTTTCAGCAGTGGGATGGGATAGCCCTTCGCCAAGGACGGCAAATTAAGCAGGGGAGAGTGTAACTCATACGGCCGACATTAGAGGTGTTGCGAGCTGGCTTACCAGCGCGGTGACGTCACCGCCATTCCCTGTGAATAGCAGGGACCACAGCCGGAGGCCCAGGTTCAAGCCCGCAGCAATGGGGGGCTGACCTGAGGTGGCAGTGGCGAGGGCGCAGACCCATGTGAACCCGAGAGTGCTACAGGACAAAGTAGGAAGAACCTATAAGAGAGATAATGTACAGATTATGCAACAAAAATGCAAGCTACTGCGTATCGTGAGCAAGGACTGCATTATATTATGTATTCAATATCTAGATGAAATTTAAGATTTTGACAGCTAAACCTGAACGTATCGCTTTTTATATCAATTCTTCACTATCAATAATATGGGATTGTTTAGAATTTAAGTCTCAGTTTTTTTAACTGTTGTACATTTTTGCTTATTTCCATATAATGTAGATGCAAGTTTAAATGATTTTCAATTCTGTGCAGTTATTATTTTTTGCTCTAAGTACTGTAATCTTTGTGGTACTGAAGCTGGTTTTACCTAAAAGTATTCTATTTCATTGAAAACTGTGTTCTGAAACTCATGAAATTTTACATGAGGAAAAAATCAGGGGAAAAGGTCATGTTGACTACACCAGCCAGATGGTTATTGAGAAAGAACCAACATATACACATAATAGTCAATTGTTTTTTGTTAATCTCAACAAGTAGGGTTCAGCTTCATGTCAATCAGCTTCGATATAGTAGTCTATGATATGTTTGCGTGTAACAGCAGCTATTAACCGTGCCAAATTGGGAGTTCAAAATAGTGAATTTCGAAAGAAAGGAATATGAAAGACTTTTACTGTTGAATATGGATCTAATTTTATTTTCCAGAAGTTTGTCTTTGAAAAATTACCTGGAAAATCAGAGTAACCAGTATGCATGGTGAACTATTGTAATGACATTTTGCTGGCTGTATGTATCAATGATTTGGACATACAGTACAAGAAGTGCTTCACTTAGTTTTGTATTTTCAGTGGTTTCAGGTGACAATTTACCCAGGGTTAATTAATTTCACACCAGTAAAGCACTACTTGTTGATGAAATCCTGTGTGATGCCAAGCTCAAAATTGCAAATCTGAAGCATACACTACATGGCTCAGAATCTATACTGTAGCTCTTGTTAGGTACAAAAGAGCTACAGTAAAATTAAAATACAATGAAAGTGAAGCAGAAAAAAACTAAGCCTAAAGCATGAAGAAAAAACTTAAAGATGCTCTCAAAGTTTTAAATTAAGAGTGTGTAAGTTGAAAAGTGCATCTAGAAGCTTGCTTCACCAAAAATGTTTTTGCATTGTTAATTTACGGTAAGCTGATGTGCAGTCCATTTTCTCTAACTGTTACTAAAGCAATAAATAAAATGCTTGATATATTTCATAACTAGGGTCTTCAGTTTTTTAAAACAAAATGTTTCCCCCTTAGCATTTGAGTTGTGCAAGACGAGCTAGAGTTCTTAACTACTTTGTATGCCATTTCTTCCAGAGGCATAATGATAAAATGAATTGATTGAGAATTGAGGCTTCCATTTACCTTTTCAAAAAAACGTTTTATTGATGTATGTTTTATGTATCAAGCCCAGGACATGTCATGTGAGCAAAATAAGAACACAAAAATTAAAATGATGTAACCTGAGCATATCCCATGTTTTATTTTGCTGGATGTTTTCAACACTTTGCAGGTGAGTATGTATTATGAGGAAATCTTTGTGCTGCAAACTATACCAAAAGGAAGAAAATGGGAAGGTTACTGAGCTGGAGAGTTATCAGTTAAATATGTGCACAGTGCAAATAAAGATAAGGTCAGATTAATCAAGAAACAACTGCCAAGGATTTCTTAAACCCTGTCTGTTCACCCAAGGAAATATTTGGATGACCGCCCCAGCATCATTAGTCCTTTTAAGGGATAATGTTGGAAACTTAACAGCACAGTACGGTTATTCATAATGGACCTACAGTAGGATGTTTGACACAAGCTGGAGCTGAATGGAAACTTTTCTTTTTCATTGTGTTCCTGTGGACAGAAAAGCAAAACAACTTTACAGTTTCTGTTTTTTTTTTTTAATGGACCTACAGACTTTCCAAGTGGACTTTTGGACTAAGAAGTACTTTATCATGATTCTAACATTATGATCGTTTTCAATACAAGTGCATTATTTTTGTTGCCATGAAGAAATGGAATGCTTTATCGATTTCCCTTTGGATTATAAAAAACAAACACCCCGACCCGAATGAGTATGAGATGGAAGGAATACAACACTGTTTACTTCCTGCAGTGTGAAAGAAACATCTTAGACCTATCTGTTTTTAAAGGAGCTACTTCTGCCAAACTTGTTATTTATCATCCTGTGAGCACTTACTGTGTACTGCAACCTAAGATCTTTGTGATGGCACTAAATTACTGCATCCCTGCCTTTTTGCTGTTTTCTTGAAAGGTTTTCAGTCTACTGGACAGAGTGGGAGTGAATTATTTTGTGATACAATCTTCTGCTGTGTTTTGCTCAAATATTTACATTTCCAATTATGTCATTTTTACATGTAGAACATACACGGAGCCTCATATCTTCATTCTTTTGTGAAATCTTCCTTTAAAAATGAATCTTATAGTTCATGAAGCAATGTGTTTCCATATGCTGTTTGTCGTATTTTTCTGTGCTCTGAAACTTCGTTTTCCACAATGGCAGCCCATTGTTAGTTGAATAATATTAATATGTACTGTACATATAGTAGAACCTTACACATCCAACATTCAAGACATTACGTTATTATGGTAGACTCCAAAAACTTTCATATTCACACATTTCCAAATTATAGTGAATATCAGGAAGGAGCCCTGTAGTAAGACCTTAGGAGTTTAATGTATGTAATTTAAATACTGCTGTTATGTTTTTTTCAGTAGATGCTCCTATTTCTGTTTAAAGACATCGGGCAAGAATTGGCTATTCTAAATGGTCTTTTTCCCCATGACAAACTAAAGTAGTTGGTCATTTAATCCTGGCCTTATTTTGGCTCCTTTCCTGGTATGAACCCCAATGAGATAGCCAAGATTCCCACACACAGAATGAGATGGTTCCATCTGCAAAATCTATATCTTTCTGCCTTTCACAAACCAAAGGCCTGCAAACACAAGATATTAAGCACTTATTTTGCAAATGTAACATTTTGTTTATGTTTAGTTTTGTTTCCCTTTTTTCAGCCAATTATCATATACAGTAAGTGGTGAGGCATCATTTTTAATAAAGAACAACTGTTTTTCACGAAGTGATTTTTTTACGTATCTTTTTGGTAACCACTTAAAGAGTAAAATCATTCAGCAAGTGCATACCATACAGTGTGAGTTTTGATCTGCCTGATACTGTTTCATAGTGGAAGAGTCACTACAAACACATGCATACACACAAACAGTATATACAGATTAGTATACAGTATAATTACACAATAAATCCTTTATTTTAGAATTATATGGGTGCCACGTACTGTATAATGATTAAGTTTACTCCAAAAGGTGATCACTTGATATTGGAACAGTTAACAGTCCAGGAGATTGGGTTGCCAATGAGATAAATGGGTTATCAAAGAGATAAACCAACTTAAAGGCTTTTGTGTATGATGCATGCAGTGTATTTACAGTGTGACTGCAGCACCTCCTTTCCAAAACCTAGCTCATTCATCAAGCACATTCTTGATGACGATTAGACGTAGATCAGAAGATATTCAGCACGCTGTCAAATACTCTGAGTTCTGTAGCAGTACACGAAGGACGTACAGTACCTCATCAAAAATGTATTGATGACACAAAATTATTTTAAATGTTGTCAGTCGTCTGTTACATTTTTTTGTTTATTGTTCCTTTTTGTTGTTTCATTATTCTCACCGGGTTAAAACACTATACATACAACACTATCCGGACCTGGTGTCACTAAGCTGAATTGTGTTCTGTACCCTGCTCCTCTGCAACTTTAGAGTTAAACATCTTGTGGTACAGTAGGTGGCGCAGACGTTTCTTTCATTTGCAAAATGTAACAAATGCTATTCTAGTTGATTAATCGGCCAAATTAAACGAAACACCGTGATAGGAAACAAGGTATCTAAGCTGACACCCAAACGAGTACACGTTCATCAAACATAATTTGCTATAAAGGCTAGAAAGTAATAAACATCCCGGAGTAGGTTGCCTGAAAGTCCAGTTTATGTATATTATCTCGAAAGCATTATCCGATACAAATTATTTTCCTCTGCAATCGTTAATGAGATCACCCGAAAACGAAATGACGCGCTTTCGGAGAAGCTCGCTCCTGAAGATGGTGATCCCCGTGAAATAAAAGACACCCTCCATTTGCAGATTAGGCAGTGGCATTACTCCAGTCAGCCACAAGAGGTTAGCCTGCCTCGCAGCTCACAATTTCAAGCGGCTGATTAAGCAGCTTTCTGTTAATAGATAGACCACCAGCACAAGAGATGATCCGGCTTTACAAACAAACCTCACCGCCCACCACATAATTTGCTTGTTCCCACGGAGAAATAACCTCAAATACGGCGTAATCCACGTATCTGAAAATGGTTTTAGAACAGGAGAGAGTCTTCCGTTAAAAAAAAAAACCATTAAACTTCGCCATTTTTGCAGTTCTTTACCATAGATTTCCTTTATTAATAGCTGAAAGCCCAAAGGTAGGTAGTGGAAATGGGTAATATGCAGATATCAGTCATATTCCTAGTACAGTTATGACCTAGTAAAAATGGAAGGCGCCCAAGGTACGCGCTAGAGTACAGCACTGATTCCACCGAGAAAGTGTTTAATAAACGCAATGTACTGTACTATCCATGGTGCTGAAGCAAGAGCGTTTTTTTAATTGCAGCACAATTTCAAGGAGTGCAAAGGAGGTAGATTCTTGAAGTGATTTATATAATGATGATCCCTGGTAGAGAAGAACAAGAGACTCAGATATTGCACTTTCGGATCTGATAACGAAATGCAGAAATCAGTAATTTGGTTCTAGAATATTCCAGCAGAAAGATACTCTATAACATGCGCTTTTTGGCAAAACAATTTATTCCATTTCAGCGGCGATTTAAATGTATTGATCACGACTATGAAACCACCTTTCCTCTGTGCAAACGAAATGTACTGTACAGTACTTCATTGTCTGTTTCATCCGTGGAGCATGAGGAATATGTATGCTTTTTCTCTTACTATAAAGATACGGTTACATAAAGCAAAAAAAAAATGTAAGTACCAACAACAACAACAGCAAAAAAAAAAAACAACAACAAGAAATATTCAGGTTTTGGAAATTCCTGTTCGAAATAATGTTTTGCAACATAATAACTATCCCATTCACTTAATCTTAAGGAGACATAAAATCCTAAGACTGAAACCCTGCACCAACGGTAAAGTACTTAACAGTAAACTCATTCACAAATTTATTGTTTGTAGCTCTATACTGTGCATGCAGCTACTGTATGTTTCCAAATATGTTACTCTAGTTAAAAGCATTGGTATATACTGTACTTCTATTTATAGAAAAACTGGTTATAGGATATTCATACCTGTACCCTATCTAAATAGAAGCTTTAGGATAAATGATACTTCTAAAGCAGCACAAAAAGGGCTACACAATGTCTTGTGTTCTTTCAGCCTGCCAGATTTGAAAGATAAACATAACTGCAGCTGTTTGCTTTTCCAGCAACCTATAAACGAATTTATTTGCATAGTGATTATTTGAATTAAGTGTTGAATCTATTAAATGCATCTCTTTAAAATAAATTAGCAATAATTGCTAATCCTAATTACAAAATTGGGAGTAGTAACCAACTAAAACAAAACAACCTTGAAAGAATACTGAAGTAAGATTTTTTTTTGCAAGGCACTCATTCAGGTAAACAAATATGCTGAAATCAGCTAATTAACTCGAGGTACAGTGTATTCTTACCCTACCTACGTTTTTATTGACACCCCAGCCTCCATAAACAGCTTTCCAGATACTGTGAGAATCACTCCAGACTAGACCGTGGGATGTTGAATGGCAATTTCATGAGCTAATGAAATGACAGCAATACAGGAGATTTAATTCTCAGAATATGGATTCTCACAAGACTTTATTCCTACAGATGGAGAAGAAAAAAACAACAACAAAAGAACATTTAAAGTTTGTGTAATCATTTGAGTTTCGTCGCGGTAAACGATGACGTAACAACGAAAAGGGGCTTCTAGGGAATGTATGAAGGGGTTTGTAGGTTTCCCAGTTCGTGAGTTGGTGCCCTGCTTTTGTGAGCGTCAGTATGTCTCTGTATCTGGTGGTGCAATCGAAGGCAGCTAATGCAACTTTAAGGAGCAGGAGGGGCTGGTCCATTAATTCCCACAATTGATTCTCGCTGTGAAAGTACCGGAGCTGCACAAAATTTCTCATACCTGTTAGACGAAGATACGTGAATTTATTTGTGGATTATAAACTATCTTTTAGTTTTCACTTCCTTTCAACTGACAAACATTGGTAGTTAAAACTGAGAAGAAAATACATGTACAGCTGTATCTTCTACCCCCTTCTTTTTAGATTCAGCACAGCATTTACTCTAACGAATTCTTGGAATCGTCTTCTCATAAATATGCCCAAACTACTGGTTTATTTCTTACTTCTGTCGGTCTTCCATGCATGGTAAGTGGCTTTTTAATTCCTTACCTTTTAATAGTTCGCATCTTAAATCACTTTGATGGGCGCATTTTCTTAATGACTGTTTTTGGGAGATACTGTACTACAGCAGATATAATTTGCAGTCTCTCGCAGAAAACATGTATAATTAAATGCGTTTACATTTTAGGAATATGTTAATGTCCTGGAAATTATATTACATGTCGTTTTTTGACTGAATTCATAAAAATCTGTTTTTTTTTATCTAGCAATTTAAGATAATGTTGTTGTTAGAATTAACATTTGAATAGTAATTAATGATTTGGAGGTCCCCTCGGTTTTCTATCACAAACATTTATGTTGAATTTACATTTTCTAAAAGAAGAACCTAACTGGATTATATTAATTACAACTAAGAATTTCACATAAATCATTTTGCTTCACTTATTACAGTTCCCTGATATTTTCTTTAGACTCCCCAAAGACCTAAATGTTAAAGAGTTATTGGAGAAGTTGTTTGTGACCTTTTACTTTTTCTCTTTACTCTCTGTGAAAAAATCAGGTGTATAAACTGATGGGTAATCGTGCTATATAATATTTGAAAAGGTCTATACAGGAATAGTTTTTAATTGTAAGGGGTCATTAAGTAATCTGACTTATAAACTATGCAAAGCATCTGCTTTTTTAACTGTTGGGCAGGTTGCCCTGGTAACCAGCTGTGTGATTGCAATTGTGCTTCCAATTGTACCACACAGGTATTGCCAACTGTAAGTTTTAAATCAATTGCTTGATATGTCCATTGGCATGTACTGTACATGCAAATTTAAGGGGGATCTTGTGGTTTAAGCTGGTTTATTTTACCAGGGCATTTTTTTTTTGGCTAGAGAATGGATTTGTATGTGCATTTATACAGCACAAACCTAAAAGCAAAGGTTATAGTTCAAATGCCTTGGGACATAATACAGAACTAAAGCAAGTACAGTTTGACTATTGCAATTACATTTAGTAATGTAGTTCACAAAATGTATGCTTGTTAATAACTGCATTTGTACATCTTTCCTTGAAACCGTTTTGCAGCCTTAGTTCTAATTGACCTTCTATTCCAATGAAATGACTACAAATCAGCTTCTCAAATACTTTTCAATAAATATTCTCTGTTTTACATAAATTCTGTGCAACAAGTTTTAACAGACTAAAAGCTGAAGCGTACATATACAGTACCATAAAGTATATGTATTTGAACCTGCAATGTGACAACAGTTAAATTATTTGGCCTGTTAAAGTGATACTGTAACTCAGATACATTCAAGTGATAACACAAAGAGAAAACATTCTTTAATTAAAGAAATGTCACATCTTTTTCACTCACATCACGCAGAAGCATAAACAGTTTTTCTAATGCTTCACTATTTTTTCTTCATTCTATTGTAGTTCCCAGACCATTGAATATGAGGAGGAATATGAGGATGTAACTGTGAACCAGATGCTGGCTCCGAAAACTCAAGAGACAGATGCCACACAAATATTGAACAATTTATTAAAGGAATATGATAAGAAACTTCGACCAGATATTGGAAGTGAGTTCTTGCATGTACTTTGTTGTGTGGGTGAGTGGGCAAGGAATGCAAATAATAACACAAACCAGTCTTGTATCTACAGTAAATTTATTTGTATATTTGGGCAATTTTAGACAACAAATACGGTAACTGTGATTTATACAATAGAAATAATGATGCCTTACAGTAAGTATTGGGTTTTATTTAGTTTGTTTTTGATGTAGAAATTAATTTCTACAACCAATTGCAACAACACATCATCAGGAGGGTAAAACTAACCTGTCTCACTACGGTCTACTCCCAGCTCACGTTCCCTATTAGTGGGTGGATTGCTGACAGTGAACGTAGGTCTGACAAGTTGCAAAAAATAACTGCCATGACCCATGAATGTATTGAAAATGTTGATCTTTTTCTTTATCCAAAAAAATGCTAAAATCAAAACTGATGCTGCTTTTCCATTGGGTACATACATCAGCACAGCTGAGAAAGCAATTTGTCATAATGACCGTGAAGCAACTATAATACCATGACAATAAAAGGTGAGGTAGAGGTACTTAGGAGCAAGAATGGGTGAAAAATGATCCGTGCACAATGTCTGTGCAGGTGCTGTGCATTATGAATGGAAGGGACTCCCCGTAACTCTTTCTTCGGTGCTATTTATAGCATTTTGACAGGAAAGCACTTGTCAGATGGCATTCCGAGTAAACCCATTTTCATGTTTGTCTCTATGACTACACTAAAGCTAGTGGTAGAGAAATTGAAAAAGATGATGAGTTATGCTTCCCAGTTGTGTCTTTTACAGTAATAATATATTTCTCTTAGATTGAATGTGTATAATGCATTTATTTTCACCAGAAAATATGAATTGCGAGTGCCATCCGAAGGAGTCAGATTACCTAAAGGACAGATAAACTGGTCTCTAGCTGGTTAGTTTGAAACGAAAAACAAAGTCATTCAGAAATCTAACAATAGATAACACACAATTATTTTTCTTATTTAACAGACCACTATCAACGTTTGAAGCTATTTGTTCTCATTCTAAGACACAGTATAAAACAGTGCAAAAGATTTACATTGCTGTTCTACATACAATAATCAAAACATAGCCCTGTAGAACAACTATTTAGGGAGTTTAGCTTTCCGGTTTTCATCAACTGGCTGTACTATAAGGTGCAATCCAAACCTCTTTGCATGAATACTCCACTAATTTTACATTCTTTTTCATGAACAATAAATAGGAAATAAAAAAAAATATGCCTTGCATGATAAATCTACAGTTTTACAGTTCTACTGTATATCGTCATGTGCAGCTCAGAGGTGACTGATTGGGACTAGTGGAGGAGTCATTGGTGTGGCCTTCTTTTACCTTTGCAATGAAAAATATTGTTACTGCTGATTGTGATGTTACTTGATAACTGACTGGAGCTGAGTGGCATTTATGCATGCAGGATGTTCCAACCAAATCATATTGTGATCACGTGTTAATACACTTCAAGGAAACAGAAATACAGTTCAAGCATACAGTACAGATATGAGTGAGCTTGACGTACCATAGATACAATACACTGAGACAGAACCATGCATGTGATGGAGAAAGCAGACATGTATCTTAAATTTTAAGTCAAATTCCAAATACAGACGTATGTACTCCATTTTGTATCAGGCAGTCTTGTGTGCAAATTATGTTGCAGAAGGATGGTGCAGTATTTATGCAGGATTAGTCCTGCTGTGTTTTTGTGGTACTGGCATGAACCTAGGCCCTGTGTATGAACTGTACTGTATGTGTATGAACATATTGTGCAGTACATCTAAACAAACATAAATAGAAGGTGCAGAACATTTGAAAACATTTTACCCAGCACTTTTTGCACCAACATTTTCTTCCTATCTCACACAGTAGTAGATAAAATAAATGGTCTGTGGATAGCAAAGAAGCCCAGCTAAGCAATGCTTTTCATATTGCCAGAGCACATCAGGTAGCTTTATCAAACTTGACAAGGGATGTAATAACATGATGCTATAGTCGCGACCTATTTTTAGTATTTCCCATAATTTTCTTGTAACAATAGTCCTGTATGTCCTGATTTGTGTGGGGGAAGTGGGTAACAAGTACCCTGAGGGAGAAAAAGGACAGGTGTTTATATACTTCATCCATGAAATCATCCATTCTTTTGAAAGCGTTATAAGCAACACTCTTGGCACCTCTGAGAATTCAAAGATCCCTGTAGGGAAGGTTTCAATCAGTGTATGCACTTTTATAAAATGGAGACTGAAGGATAAGTTTTCAACAGAAAGGATGTCTGCCATTATCTTTCCATAACAATTCATCATACTGCCAATGTCAACAAGCCCACTACTACTTATGAAGTAGTGGGTATATCTGACACTTTTTCATTATAACATTGATTACTCATTTCTTCATTTTCTTTTCATGAAATACTGCCCATAATCTTAAAATGGCTCCTTTGGATAACTGCTGTTAGTTTGGTTTGAAGAGCTTCAAAGGTATTGCAGGTTTGTATTGAGTCAAGACAAAAGGAATTTTCAAATAAAATCTACCTAAATCTATTAATCAAAAACAGCATTTTCACATGCATTTTCCCCTTACTTTCTTTGAATGTGTTTTTTTTCCTAAAGAAATAATCTCTTTAGTGTTTTTGAGAGATACTGGTATGACAATGATAAAATTGTTTTCTGGAGAAGTAAATGTGCCATGCTTTAGAAACACCTTTAAAATGTTGTATGCTCATATTTTTTATTCACTTGAATATCTGGGTGCTTATTTTATTAATTATATTAACATTTTAATGTTTTTCTGCATTGATATTTGTCTACCTTTTGGGAAGGACATGGTTACATTTAAGTTATGATGTATCATCAAGTTTTTTTCATGAGTTCCACACTCCATCCGGAGATTCCTCAGAATAATTAAAGTGTCCCAATTAGCCTTAATTGAATTGCTTAAACCATTACCCAGGGGTTTTTAAGGGTTAATGATTGAAAGGCACCATGATAAATTGTGACTCTCAAGGAACAGGCTTGAGCCTCTCTGAAAAATGGATAGGGGCTACTGTATTCATCCCTTTAAATGATCATTAGCAGTGATGGAGACTTCACTATATCCCATTTTAGTGAAAACTCGTCATTGCCTGCCAAGTGTGATTTATTATTGACTACAATGACCTTAAACACTATATACACTAAATATATATTAATTCTGTTGAAAATAATATATATATATATGTATGTTTGTTTGTTTTGGACATCTCATTTAACTAGTTGGAAAAATAGTAACAATAATATCTAAAACTGCTGGGAGGGACCAATGTGGTAAAACTGCTCTTTTTGGCATATTTGACTGGGAATCAATTTATGGATAATTTTAAAAGAAAAATTTAAAGGATATTTAATATGATTAAAAATTAACACCAAAAGAAAATCTGCTGTACAGTAGATTACAGTAGGTGACTAGTTATCACCTAGACCCCTACAGAAGAAAAGTGTGAAAATACCACTCACATACAGTAAGATGAGATCACTTTATTGGCCATATACAATTTGTTGTTTTTCTTTTCACATACCCCAACTTGCTCTCCATGAGACACAAAGACAGGAAGAGAAGCTTGGGATCAGAGCAGCATGTCAGCCATTTATACAGCACCTCTGGAGTAGTTGGGGGTTAAGGGCCTTGCTCAGGGGCCCAACGGAGTAGCATTCCTCTGCCGGCCGCGGGATACGAACTGGCAACCTTCCAGCTGCAGGCGCAGATCCTCTGCCACAGAGCCACCACACTGCCAGGTGTGTGTCATCTCCACTTTCCTCTTAAAGACTGAAGAGATTTAGCACTAGTGATACCGAATACTGTTCTATACTTTGGCTCTACCTATTCTACTGCAAAAAAGATGTGTCCATCAAAGTACTCATCTTCGGGTCACATTCACAAGGGTAGTTGGTCCTTGGGCAGGGGGCTGGGAGAGGCTCACAGCTCACTCACTAGCTAGATTCGCCTCACAATCCTAGTCTGTTGCTCTGCTAATTGGATGTTGCAGTTTACATCCTTCATCTCGGTTTCATCACGCCCTGTTCTGTCATCCATGACGCTGTCAGCCAGCCCAAATTTAAAATAAGCAGATCTGCACACCCAAAGAAGACTCTGCAGCCGAAATGTTGTGTTTCTTCTCTTTTCAGCATGGAATAAATCTTTACTTGTTCCTTTGCAGCCTACGCATGCTGACACAGCTTGCCTACTTGAACTACTTCAGTCTACTGTACTCGTACTTGTGGAAGTAACAAATCACCACAAAAACAAAAGAACTTTGTTTTTGTGTATTTTTCCATTGAATATAAGATGTGGGACCCCACAATTACCTTGCAACCTGAGCAGAAAAAAGTCTCAACTGAACAGAGGGTAATTTTGTCTCCTCTTTTACTTCTCTATGGTTGTTGGCTTTTATTATATGGAGCAAATGATTTAAGATTATGTGGCAGTAATTGGGTTCCATTAGATGAAATGATCCTGTAAAGCCTGTATGGATATGATTGACGTAAGGGTCACTGTACCTTATTCTGCACATGAAATTGAGTTTTAATGTTTGCTGAAACATTCTGTAGCTCCCTTGGTTATTTTTGTGCAGAAAGGGGATATTGACTTCCTGCTGAAAAATGGCATGACAGATAAACATCTCCTCATCCTGCTGCCTGCTATCCAGGATAAGGTTAAGATACGCTTTGGGGGAATAGCTTGCAGTGAGAAAGTCATTAAGCTGGTTGAACATTGCTTGTGGAAGTCCTCTCGTATTGAGTTCAAAAGCTGCCTGACAAGTTTGTTTATTGTTTGGAAATTAACGTACAGTTTGTACTATTGTGAACCAAGTGTTTTTTCCCCAATTGGTTCAAATGGAATCATATGCAAGATCCATGTTATAAACAAGGGAAATTGGTTCTAGGAATGAGTCACCCTTGGTCCAGGAAGGGAACCACTGGAATGGTCTGTATTGAAGTCAACAATTTCTACAGTATGT